CCTGATTCATTTACTATGACACTCTAAATATCAGCTGCAAAACCACGGAGTTACACGTATAGGTATTAAATCAGTGGTGAAAAGACATGAAAAAAATGCACGTCTTCAGTCCTGAGAAGTTTTTTTAAGAAGCCGGAAGCTCTTTGTGCTAACGGGCAACACTGTTACCAGCAACACCCGACGAATTTTTCAGCGGTTTTTTTGAGCACTTGTTTACCACATACGACAAAACTGACTCAGTGGCAGACAGACAAAATGGTATCAATAATTTGTAGTACTACTAAAGAGGCCATGGCCAGAATACACAAAACCAAGAAATTCCTCTAGAAACGAGCTAGCGGAACTAACAAAACTGGACAGTTTTTTTCTCAGTAATTGAATAACATAAAAAAAAATGTTTCTCTTTTTCGGAGGGTGTACTGATTCACATCGAATTAACGAATAGGCTGCCTAGGTTTCACATCGACATAGACGCTAAATATAGCACGTTGTATTAGAGCTTTTTATAGCACTACATGCCAAAAATACCGTAATTATCTTCCCCTAACACCGGCCATGTCTGAAAGAGGAGCTAGTGGAGTGAAGCTATCCAAACGGCTATTGAAGCAGCGGCGTGCGTCATGCAAGGAAGTGAGAGAAAAATAGGTACATAATGTGTACGTGTGTGTGTGCCTACGCATTAATAATCATTTGGCTTACAGCTGCATTCTATTTTGTCTATTTTATATGATCGGCGGAAAGTTTCTGATTCTTTGTTTTCGCCGAAAGAATAACAAGTTGGCACCCCCTAGGTCACCGATTGTACCTAAATCGATACATGAAAAGCGTAAGATATATATATATATATATATATATATTTTGCCTACCTGTTATTTTTTATTTTTATTTTTATTTTTATTTTTTTTGCTACTTTGTCCAGTAGGCGCTCTTTCTCTGGCGTTCGTGTAATAATATCACGTTTATGGGCAGGTTTTAGCAGCTTCAATGAACTGTAATTAACCCCGCATTCTCTTCTTCCTTATTATCTGTGTTCGGTCTGCTACGTAAGCTAGGTATTGATTGGAACCAGAGGCAGACCGTGTGGCACGAAAATTTTGCGGCAGTTTAATTTTGCGGATCGGCGAATTTTTGTATCAGTTGCGGGAACTAATTTTTGCAATCGTGAAAGAATGGTTTTTCGAGCTGGGTATCAATTTTTGTGATGTAATTTTCAGAAAGTCGCTTTTTATACAACATTCTCCGTTTTTTTATTACATCCGTTTTTTATGTTACACAACACGGTAATCAGTCACTCTATTACAATTACAGTTACATCTTGTCCCAGTGAGGCTCACGTGATAGCCGAATATATCTTCGGACGATACTTTTCTGTAAACTTTTTAGCAGCTAGCACCTGTAGTGCACCAAGCCAGGGCACCTTCATCGTTTTGTTTAAAGAGACGTTTTAAATAAATAGCATCAACAAGATTCTACAAATGAGGTGTGTATGTATTATTTCCCCAGCACAGTAAATTTTTGCGGATTCATTTTTTGTGGGACCTCCTTTTTTTGTGAACCCGCAAAAATCGCAAAACTTACAACCTGCAAATCTAATGCCACAAGGTTTGCCTCTGTTACAGCCTATGAAGTAAGTACAGGCTACCGTAAACTTCGGAAAGTAACTAGCGACCCCCCGAAAGTAACGTCAAAAAATTGTGGTCGCTCATAAATCCCGAAAGTAGACGGTGTGCGAGATCGAAAACGCTCGAGATAGCAGATACATTCCAGCATACACGCGCTATATAAGAGTAGGAAAACAAGAAATTTCCCTATACAGACTGATGAACGCATCAATTATGTTTCTCTGCACCGGAAAATGATGTCAAGTCTTTAGATCTTTACAACCCTCGAGGCGACCATCTACTGAGCAGTTCTAAAGATAAGTTACATTAGACAATTTGAGAATTTCAAGAAAACATAGCCTGACAGCTAAATCCACGGTTTATAATAAAATCAGGTAAGTACTCTATGTATCTATATAAATGTTGTAAACCCTCATCTCTACCTTACTTTAGACAACGTCTCTATTCTTATCAGAAATGATTTAGAGATACATACGTACATAAACAAGTGTGAAAATAAACGATATGAACCGACGTTTCGGAGACTTCTCTCTGATTACTGTTTGTCCCTGGTCACAAAAGTAAATCTTTATTTACCAAGGATGAGCTCGATGTTCAAGACGAGAGCCGCGGAGGCGGATGGGAGGCAGCTGTAAGTAAAGGCACCCTCGAACGGTCTTGGGGACGAGAATGAACACAGGTAGCCCAAGCTCAGTATGGCATTGTCGTGACTAAATGTAACGAAACGAACGCTTTCTAGAATTTCCATTGGAAACCTTGTCTCACATTCAGCAAGCAGCGTAAGAAATCCTTTCCCCATTCGCTAAAAGAGGAAAAACCCGGCTGAACGCAGGTTATTCTTGGGTTATTAGTCACAACAGTCACATACTGAGCCTGGTTGACCTGCGGAATGAAGTTGGAAAATTGGCGGGAAAATTCGCGGACAAGCTCGAACTCGGCCAAGTGACGTCACTACAACAAAATGGCGGCTGCGAAGGTAAGTTACTGGGTATCTTTGTTAGCTCAACTCTCGGGGCTACATTGAACACATTTGCCTTGACTAATACCGTATTAGTAAAAGCTTTCTTTTTTCTCAAATTCTAAGTGATAATTGAACAATTGAACGGGATGGTAATGTGTTTGAATATGTTTTTATTACAACACGTGGAAAGTTAAGCTTGAGCTTACATCTGTTTGCATCGCTTAAGCCTATTTTGCATTATTGAACTTAAATTAAATTTACCTTCGATAGGAGCATCAACACACGTTGTGTTTCTTACGAAGTGAAGGGAAAGAGAAACATAGTCACAGTAATTAAACCGCCCAGTACAGCTGAAAAATATCATGCCTCCAGAGACGTTGACAGATCAGATGAAAACTGAAGGAATAATCGAACTATTTAAATAAATTGAGCCCAGTCTACTAAGTGGAACTGAATCAAGCGATCGAATACTATAGTTATAAAATGGTAAACTATAAAATATCGTTGCTGTCATTATTACTGCCTACATGTTGGAGTATTGAGCTACATGTATGTGGTATTCTGAGTTTGTTTACATTTAAACAGGATGCTGTTGTTATTATTTTGGATGTGGGGCCGTCGATGTGCCAAGCTCTCGCAGGTCATTCCACATCGCTGGAGGTTTCTGTGAAAGCAATCAATATGATCATACAGAGAAAGGTACATGTGTGTGTAGCTGTCTAGACACTCCTGCAGTGTGATGAGTATGGGCAAAAC